CTCAAACCCTCCTCCTTCTCCTCCCTCTCCCTCCCTCCCTACCTCCCTTGATCACTCCCTCCTCCAGCTCTCTCCTGCTCCTCCCTTTCCTTCTGCTGCTCCTCCTCCTCCTCCTCCTCCTCCTCCTCCTCCTCCTCCTCCTCCTCCTCCTCCTCCTCCTCCTCCTCCTCCCCCCCTCCCTCCTCCCTCCTCCTCCCCTCCTCCTCCTCCCTCCTCCCTCCTCCCTCCTCCTCCTCCTCCTCCTCCTCCCTCCTCCCCTCCTCCTCCTCCCTCCTCCTCCCTCCTCCCTCCTCCCTCCTTCCTCCTCCTCCCTCCTCCCTCCTCCCCCCTCCCTCCTCCCTCCCCCCTCCCCCTTCACAGTTACTCAATATGAATACTACTCTCCCTCTTCCCCTGATGACGGTTTGAAAATATTAGCCCCCCCCCCGCGTACTGTTTTTTTCACACAGGATTCCCCGGAGTTGGGTTTTCGCTTGCATTTGTTTCCAAAATGCTGCTCTCGCTGAGGCGCCGGCCTCATTTTCGGGCCCCGCTCGTTCCGAATCGTGCTCCCGCTGCAGCGCTGGCCTCATTTCTGTGCTTCCGCTCGTTCCGAATCGTGCTCCCGCTGCAGCGCTGGCCTCATTTCCGCGCTTCCGCTCGTTCCGACTCGTGCTCCCGCTGCAGCGCTGGCGTCATTTCCCGTGCCATGCCACGGCATGCAATGCAATGCTAGGTTGATACTACGCTTTGCGGTGCTCTTCTACGCCATGCCATGCCGTGCTCTACAATGCATCGCGTACCCTTTCGGGATCATTGCCCTGCTCGACATCCGACTGTGCGAGTAGAGAGGGGATCTACGCCATGGTAAGGGATGGGAGGGAGGGGTAGGATGTCATATATGACGCGAGCGCACCTAGCTTGCCCCTCCCCCCTCCCCCCCTCCTCCTCCTCCCCTCCTCCCTCCTCCCACCTCCCTCCTCCTCCTCCCTCCTCCTCCTCCTCCTCCCCTCCTCCCTCCTCCCCTCCTCCTCCTCCTCCCTCTCCCCTCCACCTCCTCCCTCCCTCCTCCCTCCTCCCTCCTCCCTCCTCCCTCCTCTCTCCTCCCTCCTCCCTCCTCCCGCCTCCTCCCTCCTCCTCCCTCCTCCTCCCCCCCTCCCCCCTCCCCCCGACCCCCCCCCGACCCCCGCCCCCGACCCCATCCCCCTCCCCCCTCCCCTCCCTCCTCCCCCCTCCCTCCTCCCTCCTCCTCCTTCCTCTCCTCCTCCTCCTCCTTCCTCCTCCCTCCTCCCTCCTCCCCTTTTCCCTCCTCCTATTCCTCTTCCTCCTCCCTCCTCCCTCTTCTCCCCCTCCTCCTCCTCATCCTCCTCCTCATCCTCCTCCTCATCATCTTCCTCCATCTCCTACCCCTCGTCATCATCATCATCATCCTCTTCGCATTCTTCTTAAATGATTATCATTACTACCGCTTTAGTAGTATCAGTATTGTTCGTCGTATCGGTCATAGCAGTATCATTGATATGATTGATAGTAGTCCCATGCATCGTTATAGTAGTATGGGTATTAGTCTGATTCGCCGTAGTATTCGCAATGGTGTTCTTCATAGGATTCGTATTATCCGTATGTTCAGATTTCTTCATCATATTAGTCGTAGTAGTATTACTATGCTTGCTAGTATCAGTAGTAGGAGTGTTAGTATGAATCGTAGTCATAGTAACAAGCTCATTACTAGTAGTGTTAATAGTCTTATTCTCAGTATAGGTATCCTTCGTCTGAATCGCCAGATTCGTCTTCTTCGCCGTCTTACGATTAGTAGTCGCATTAGTCTTATTAGTCGTCTTCTGTCTACCCGTATTACTAATATTCGTCTTCGCCGTCGTATGAGACTTATGCTTTATAGTAGTACTACTAGTATTGTGCTTATTATTAGTATCCTTCTCCTCCTCCTGCACCGCGCTGGCCCAGCACCGCGCACGACCCAGAAGAATCCCCCATGCTGAGGGGGGCGGCAAGGAGGAGGAGGAGGAGGAGGAGGAGGAGGAGGAGGAGGGGGGGAGGAGGAGGAGGAGGAGGAGGAGGAGGATGAAGGAGGAGGAGGAGGAGAGGGAGGAGGAGGAGGACGAGGAGGAGGGAGGAGGAGAGAGGAGGAGGAGAGGAGGAGGAGGAGGGAGAGAAGTAGGAGGAGGAGGAGGAGGAAGGGGGGCCTGGCTCAGAGGAGGAAACGTCGACCTGGAATCGGCGATACATCGCCGATAGATCGGCGGTAGGCCCCCACGGCAGAACCTCTCGGTTCTGGGCTCTGGACGGGGTGGGCGATGGAGCCCGCATCGGTGATGAATGGGCGATTCGACGTCGGTGCATCCCCCCTTGGGCCTGCCCCCGCAACGTTGCCCCTGACAGTGCACCAGGGCCCAGGAAGGGTGAAGCTCACAGCCAGCCGCAGGTGCGCGAGGGGACAATGTCTGCGACGCTGGCGGCCTCATCCCTCCTCTGCCTCCCCTCCCCCTCCTTCCCCCCTCCCCCTCACCCCCTCCTCCCCCTCCTCCTTCCTCCTCCTCCTCCTCCTCCTCCTCCTCCTCCTCCTCCTCCTCCTCCTCCTCCTCCCCCTCCTCCTCCTCCTCCTCCTCCTCCTCTTCAGCAGCAGCAGCAGCAGCAGCATCAGCATCAGCATCAGCATCGCCCATGCCTTTTCCTGAAAAAACTATCCCCTGTCGCACCCGCAGGCGTGCCAATAGGGCAGGCCGCGCGCATTCGTCTTAAAAGTTCGGAACCGTCCCACCGATGCAAGCGGGCCGCCTTCCAAAATGTAAATAGCTCTCGCCCCAGCCCCGCGCACGTGCATGAGAAACATTCGCAGCAGCTCCGAGGATGGATGGCAGGTCGCTTGCAAGAACGGTGGCCCTCGCCCTGGCGCCACGCACATTCGTTTGCTTTTCAACGTTCGCAACCAGCTTCAAGGGTGGACGCTGCGTTCGCCGTAGCGCCGCGCACATTCGCCTGAAGAACGTGCGACTGTTCTGCGTATTTGTATGTTTGAAGTCCTAGGAACGGTGTCCTGGTCCGACTCAAGACTGTGAGGGCGTAGCTGCTACGTTGACTCGCGATATTGAAGTTCCAGGAACGGCGTCCTGGCACGATGTGGGAGTGGCAGCAAGCAGCAGCCACGTTGACCCGCGGCGATAAAGTCCCGGGAATTGCGTTTGGGCGCGATTGGGAAGTCTTGGACGGTGGTCTTCTGGACTAAATCCTGCAATGAAAGAAATTACTGACGGGGCATATGAATAGGGAGGGCTCACTGCAACAACATTGATGCGTCTTGGGCTTACACTGGTTCTCCTCCTCCTCCTCCTCCTCCTCCGTCGTCCTCCTCCTCCTCCTCATCATCCTCATTCTCCTGCTCCTCCGCATCCTTCCCGTCCCGCTCCACCTCCCCCTCCTCCTTCTCGTCCTCCACCCATTTTCCTAATACATAATGTATTATGTGTCGCGCCCGCAAACGTGTCAGTAGGGCGGGCTGGCCGTTTCGCCAGAGACTTCCTCATCAGTTATGACCCTGAAGCGTGAAGCTAGCAACAGTCTCCCGGATGGAGGGCGGGTCGTCTTCAAAATGTGGTTCTCGCCGTAGCGCCGCGCGCATTTGTCTGAAAAGTTCGCAACCGTATCACTGATGAAAGCGGGTCGCCTTAAAAATGTAGCTCACGCCTTAGCCCCGAGCACATTCATGCTCGACGTTTGGGACTGTCACGCCCCAACTCTTACTTTGACTCGCGGTGTTGAAGTGCCAGGAATGTCGTTCTGGCACTATGCCGGGTTGTCAAGGCGCAACAGTCACGTTGACCCGCAACTGTGTTCTGGCACGAGTTTGAATTCTCGGACGGCTGTCTTCTAATGAACCCCCTCCCGCGATGAGCATCAATTCGTGTAGGAACATACGAAGAGAGAACTTGAAGGGAGGGCCCATTGCAACATCATTGATGCGGCTCGGGCTTACACTGGTCCTTCTCCTCCTCCTCCTCCTCCTCCTCCTCATCATCATCCTCATCCTCATCCTCCTCCTCCTCCTCCTCCTCCTGCTCCTCATCCTCCTCCTCCTCCTCCTTCCTCCTCCTCCTCCCTTTCCGTCCTCCTCCTCCTGCTCCTCCTTCTCCTCCTTGCTCTTCCTTCCTCCCCTCCTCCTCCTCCTCCTCCTCCTTCATCCTCCCGGCAGCCGGTGTGGTTCCTGCCCCCCCCCCCCGGTGGCCCCGAGCCTGGCCCCCAGGCCAGCGCGCGCCCCCGAAGGTGCCGACCGCACAAAACCCCCCAAAGACGATGGAGCTCGGCGGGCATCCATGCTGGCGCTCAAGATTGGCTGGCGGCGCGCAGAAGGGGGTAGGGGGAGGGGGGAAGGCTTCTTAGAAGGAGGCTGCTTCTTAGAAGGCGCCGGCCTTACATCTACAAAGAAGGCCCGCGCCTTCTAAGAAGCAGGGGTGTTTCTAAGAAGCCTTCCCCCCTCCCCCTACCCCCTTCCGCGCGTGGCCAGATTGGCACGGCAGGTTCGTCTCGTGTCGACCCCAGAGATGGTTCCCGACACCGCGGGGATCGCTCAACCTTGGACGATCGGCCGCTTCCAAAACGTCAAATCGTTCAACACCGACGGATTCTGGGTCGCCGGCGGCGTTCAACGTTGAACGCTGGCGGCGGGGTCGCGGCCTGTCGACACGACGCGAACCTACCGCATTTCTTATGAAACCTCTGCGGAGGAGGGGGGGACCAGGGAGGGGAAGGAGGAGATGAAGGGGAGGAGGAGGAGGAGGAGGGGGGAGAAGGAGGGGGAGGAGGGGGAGGAGGAGGACGAGAGGGGGGAGGAGGAGGGGGAGAAGAGGGAGAGGGACAGAGGGAGGGGAGAAGAAGGAGGAAGAGGAGGAAGATGAGCAGGAGGAGCAGGAGGAGACACTGCATGCATCTTTTATGCGGGTGGGGGGCGCCAAACAAGGGAGCGCGGCTGCCGCAAGCACCGGTACTCCCTCCTTCTCCCGTTTGGCCTCGAAGACGTCCAACTCGGCCTCGGGCGTTGTAGAGCGGAGGGGGTCCACCGTCAAGAGCGTTTCCTCGACGTGTCGCGGCGGCGACCCCGGCGACGGGCCACGCCTTGCAAGCGGAGATAGCGTGTCGCTCCGCCCCGCGGGGCGGGAGGCCGAGAAAGGCTCGGTACGCTGGCGCTCGGGGACCAGGGCGTGGATAGCGATTCGCGCCGGCACGTGGTGGGCCAGAGCCGGCGGCGAGAGACGCGGAGCCAAAGTTCCCGACGGTATCGATCACTCCCAGCGCAGAACCGTGCGTGAACTCATAGCTGAGCTCGCCACGAGAGCTCTCGCGAGGGCATCGCGGCAACCACTAGAAGCCGCCGCCTTCCCTGTTGGAAGGACTTCGCGAGTCGGATGTATTACCTGTGTTTCTCATCACCCTCCTCATCCCTTCTCCGTACACACTCCCTCTCCCTGTCTCCGCACCCCCATTCACCTCGCGAGTCCACATCCTGTTCTTCATCAACAAATGTTTCCTCATGTTGCTGCTCCCCCAGCGCCACGACGTAGAAAGGCCAAGACTGCTTCGCCACAGCGCAAACGCAATCCATGCACCATCGTTATATCATTTACACACACACACACACCTGTACACGCCTTTGTGTGTGAATGCCCAATCGGACGCACGCGAATATGATTTGCATATGTATGATGATCGTCTCTTCTCCTCTTCTCTTGCAATCGGGATAATTCGCAATGCCGTCTCCTGGCATACTCCGTGCAGGATAACTCGCGTGCGGATTGACTCTCCCGCGCTGCGACGTGAAAGTAAGAAGTTCGCCCACGCATAGTTAGATGTATAAGCGACTCCTTGCTACCACACACACACACAAGCTAGATTTGGCGTGGTTGAATTGAGAAAAAGATGTAGCTAGATATATGCACACATATACATACATATATGAAAACAGGAAAAGGAGGGAGAGAGATAGAAAGAGGGAGGGGCAGAGATGGAGGGAGCCGAAAGAGAAAGAGGTGCTCCTCCCTCCTTCTGGGCGAAACGGGAGCGACCTCGGAGACGAGATCGGCGGAGAGAGCGGCGCCGACGGTGGCCACTCCACTTAAGTCGGGCGCGTCCCCCTACACAAGGATTTTCGACGAAGGATAGAAAATACTCCACAAATGCTCCAACATGGTCGAAAATACTCAGAAAATAGTCCCCTGACGATTTTTTGACTACTTTTGAAGATTCCCCCTGTAGAGGGACAGGCCCGACAGGACACTTCGCGCGCGGAGCTGGCCCCAAACCACGGCAACAGCTGCCAGGGCAGCGAGGCACCACACCCGCCCTGCCGCCGCCTCCACGGGACGCGCAGCCGCCGGAGCCCGCGGCACGCCCCGCCCCCGCGCGAGGCGCGCGCCCGGCCCTGGGCGCGCGCCCGCTGCGAGGCGCGCCGGCGCACCGCGCCCGCTGCGAGGCGCGCCGGCGCACGGCGCGCGAGGTGGACCCCGCGAGGCCCTGGAAGCACAGGAGGAGCAGGAGGAGGAACGGGAGGAGGAGGAGGAGGAATATGAGGAGGAATATGAGGAGGAGGAGGAGGAGGAGGAGGAGGAGGAGGAGGAGGAGGAGGAGGGATCCCGCGAGTTCCTGGAGGCACCTGTCGCGCCGCCGCTGGCGTCCTTCGGAGGTCGACGAAGCGCGCGGGGCGGGCACGAGCGCGCCGGCTCCCGTCACCGCGCGCGCGCCCGCTCCTCCCCGGGCTCCGTGGGCGACCTGCGCGCGGCGGGTGCCGCACCGAATGCTCGACCTGCGCAGCGTGCTCCGTTTCTCCGCCTCGCCTCCGCTGCCCCCCGCTCGGCCTCCGCTCCGCCTCGCGCTGCAGAAACGGCATGGGCACCAGCAGTGAAAGGGGCCCCAGGACACACAAACTCTTTTGGTCTGCGGGTCGAGAGCGAGCCTCTTCCGGTTAAGAGCTAGGCGGGCCGCGCAAAGCACTAATTGGGGAGACAGGGCGCGGGCGGGCGGGGCCTCAGGCGGCCGGAGGGCGCGGGGTGCAGGCGGTGCTGAAGAGCTTGCACAGGAGAAGGTACGCCTTGGACACGAGCCGGAGGCGAAGTCCCGGAGGGAGAGCGAAGTGGTGTTGCCGTCGACGGGAGGACACACAAACAAATACACACAAATAAAAAGATTCCCCCTTTTTTCCTATATTTTCAGCGTTTCTGTCTTTCCCCCCACTTCCAATAGTTTCCCATGTTTTCTGGGGAATCGACGATTAATTGTGTCTGTGTTTTTTCCCCTCCTGAAAAACGACATGGGCACCAACAGGAACGGTCCCGAGATCGCGAAGATATCGCTTGGATCGAACCCAGTGCCGCACTCTCCTCTCCCTCGGCAACTGCGCGCTCCGCGACACGCTTGCGGCAGCGGGCGTCGGTGGCCGGAGCGCGAAGCGCGCGCGAACGCAGGCGAAAAGGGAAGGACCAGGAGAACGGCGACCGTGGCGGCAGGCACACAAGGGGCGGCGAAGACGGGGGCAGGGACGGAACGGGATGGAGGGTGCCGCACTACCGGCTGACCGACGGCAACCCCGTGCCCCTTCGCACCGCCTCTCCGCTTCTTCCTCCGGTGGCCGAGCGACGCCACCACAGTGAGATCTGGAATGGCTGCACTCCACCTAGCGACGCC